ATATAGAATTACATTGCTAAAAATAAATCTTTAATAAATTTCATTTAAGTTTTAATTATTTATTTATTTATATATATTTATATTTTTTTGTAAGGCCAGTGACAATATTGGTTGTAGAGTCTTTATACTAACCATGTCCCAGAAGAAGTTAGCAATCCAGTACACCAGAGGACTGACCCCACTCACAAACTGCAGGTGTTTGGCCTGCGTCACTCTCTCCTGGATCAGATACAGCACAAAACTGGCCGGTACGAAGGACATGGCGAAAATCACACATACTGTATAGCGACCACTGCATCCACTGAGGTGGTCAGTCTGAAAGAATGTATAAGTAAACAATACTTACACAAAGAGAAGTACACTTACATAAAACCTTTTTACATGCATAAAAAGCTGTACTGAGACTGATTTGCAAGTAAAACAACTGTGTGAATTACTGTCAGCATTACACTCACACTGTGACCTCCGACAGCTGTTCCTTAGTCAGGTTTAGTGGATGATTGATGGCTGTGATGCCGTACTCATTTAAATCAGCTCCAGGAGGCAGGTTTGCTTGAAGGATGGCGTTATTCGCCACATTCATGAAGGCCACTATAGTGTGCCAGCCTTTATTATTGAACCACACCTAGAGGAGATAACAAATGGGTTAATTATCTTGAATGGGACGAGCCGAGCTCAGTAAACTGTGACAGGAAGTGAAGTTGAAAGAAATCTCACCTTGATATTGTTTTCAGTTTCCATATATCTCAAGAAAGTCCCAAACTCCTGCAGAGTAAGCTTTGAGTATCTGCCCTGTAAATGATCACAACAGTTATCAACAATTATTTCAATTATATTAGAAGAACTAAAAGTAATTTGTATTCACTACTTTGCTTTGATTACATCAATTCCCAGTGAAAACAACCAGAACAGTTACCCCTGTGACGTTAAGCAGACGTCCTAACTGAGCAGCTGCATTCTGGATGGTTTTAGGATCCACATCAAGAACAGGAAGTAGTCCTCCGACAGAAATGCCACCATACCTGAAGAAAAGAGACCGTCATTCTTCTACATATTTAGATCACAGAATGCATGTATGTGTTCTCTAATTGACCACAAGATGGAGTCGTTGTATTTTCTACTTATGTTTAAGACACCCATACCTCTGTTCATTCACCCAGTACTTGCTCTTCAAGCTGTACAACAAAAACACAAATAAGATGAGTTCTTGGAAACATAAGAGCAAGTTAATGAATGATTAGTCACAAATGGGCCATAATACCTTGTCCGTATAAAGTTTGGGTAGGTCTTCACCAAATAATCAGAGATGTTCATGCCGGTTAAATCCATCAACACGTCACCAGTGGACTGAATCCTCTGAAATGCAGGAAACACATCACTATACATCATTTTAAAGACTTTATAGTGACATATCTACAGCTGAGAGACAAACCTGGGGAGGAGGAAGGCCTCCAGCACCTTCTGGACACACCGGTAACATGGTGAGTTTGTTGGGCGTGCTGCACTGGCAGCTGGGATACGGACCGATGTCCGTCCATTCTGGGTTACCCAGCATCTCAATATATCTCATATCTGGGCTTTGCATCTGTTCATTACTGAAAAAGACATTTAAAAGACTGTTTTAACTGCTTAGTTAACTATACAGTGAATAAATAAACTGATTATGTTCCAGCATAAATGTACTGTACCTGAAGAATGTGAACTATCGGCCGTACATCCATGGGCTTAGAGTAAGACTGGGGTATTCGCTGAATGGAGGAACAATCAGTGTGAACATCAGAGAAACAAGGACAAAACTAGCAGGCAACACAATCTGAGGAAGAGAATACCAGTGGGCATCATAAAAACTGTAATTATTTAACCAAATCCTATGCACTTCATTACTGACGTTACAAAGCAACAAGTTTCCAAAGCAATGCTATTATTCTGGCCTGGGCAAGGAAGTCTTTGCCGGAACGTGTGGTGTGATGAAACCTCTTTATGACAAGAGCAAAGATTCCCTTCACCTGATGAGATCCTCTGCCATCTTTGCTGGTTGAACTTCCAGAGTTTGTTTGGCCGTTAGCATACACCGACCTGTCTGTATCTAAACAAAAGATCAAAAGCAGTCAAGATCTAGAACCCAATCATTTTCATTATTATTTTTAGAACGTTCTGGTCAACTAATATGGGTTTTCCAATGAGAACAGTGAGGCTTTTACAGTATAATTCTGGTACAATTTAACGGTAGCATATAGGCAAAACATAATTGAAAAAAATACATTTATTTACACTGTTTACTTAAATGAATTGCAAAAATATGCAAACAAAAAACAGGGGTGCTAACTACAATTATTCAGCCAAGCAGTCACTGTTATTGGCTTATACAGAATCTCAAAAAGT